TTTTTTGTAGTTTCCAGGTTTTCATAGATGCCTTTCAAAAGCATAATGAACTATACAACACACTAAAAGGTTTGTGGGCTTTTGATAGTCATGGCATTGGGTATTCAGGCCTGTTTTAGGCCAGGGACGATCACTTAGAATTATTTTGTTTCTTATCAGCTTGGTGTGGTGCGGAGCACACGGTGCCCTTAGTAAAAATTGACTTGCCAAATGAACTACTTGCTGGTCATTCTGTGAGCTAAAACTAGGATACGTTTTTCCGAGTGATGATGCCCCATTAGCTATTAGAGGGTAAGAAAGATTTGTATATAAAAGGCATTCTGCAGATGCTGGTCAGATGAAGAGAAGTCGCTCATTGATTCATTCAAACGCTGGGGTCTTTCGCCCCCCTGAGCATTGGCCATGTGCAGAACACTGTTGAGTATGCTGAGAGTAAAGCTTGGGAAAAAAGGCAAAGCCGGGGCTCCTCCCTGGGAGACGCTCCTGTGTGAGCCGCAGGGACGGAGAGCAGGTGCGTGGGAAATGATTCCGAACTTGTGCAGCAAAAAAGAGGTGGTTTAGCCTCTTGGTGGTGATTGAAGGAGGTGAGAAGGGCACTGCTTGCCAGGCTGAAGAGTGTGCCATGGTCAGGAGGCAGGAAAGCGGACGTACGGCCAGTCCCGACTGGCTTCTGTATACAGCCCACTTTGGTGTAAACTTAGAGCCCCAGGACCAGTCTCAGGGTTTGTCTCCACTGGGTGGTTAAAGAGGGCAGGCTCCTCACTCAGTAGTGAGTTGCAGGCCCCGCTGGACTTAGCAGCTCTGCCTGATCTCAGACAAGCTGTTCCACCTCTCTGGGTTTCAGTTTCTTCACCTCTAAAATGGGGACACTGTAGTAACTACGTCGTGACGTTAGAGTGAGGATTAAGTGAGCTTAGGGTAATGCGCACACAGAGGGGAAAGCACTTGATCAGTGTCTGTTTTTCCCTCCCTTCCTTTCTTTACAGCCGTTTCTTGCCCGCTTAGGAGAATTGTCATTCAGGCTACCATTAGGCCTTCCCTGGAAATGGGCTCCTGTATCCTGAGTCTCAATCTAATGGCAGGGATAAGCTGTAGATAAAACAGCTGCAGAACCAAAGCAAACCTTTAACACTAATGTGTTAAGGGAAAGCCAAGGAGAGGAACACGTGGACCAAGCTAAGTTCATAGTCAGGGAAGTAGTCAGAGAAAGCCTTTAGGAGAAGGCCAGCGAGGCCTTGGAGGCCTGATGTTGTCTGTCCTAGGCGGTGGTCATGGTAGAGAGGCAGGAATGAACGGGCCTTGTGTAGCGGGACTTGTTTGCAGAGTGCCAAGTCTGAGGGAAGTTGCTCTTCCTCTGAGCGAACAGAGGCCACCCCAGGTCTTGGCTTCGCTTTCTCCTCTCTATTAGGTTCCTCTGATTCTTGCACCATTCCCTCCGGCTGTTCCTCTGGCTTGGCCTTGGCCAAAAGGCAGAGCGGCCAGATGCGGTAGGGCCCCAGGAGCTGACCAGCCAGCAGAGCTAATCCAGTGCCTGCGTCTCTTTCACAGGACTCTGAGACCACCATCCCAATGGATGACTCGCTGCAGTTCAACTCCTCCCTCCAGAAAATTCACCACAGCATGGATGACCTCATTGGAGGAGGGCACAGTATTCTGGAGGGACTGAGGGCCCAGAGACTGACCTTGAAGGTGGGGGCCCTTCTGGGGGACAGGGAAAAGGCCCTTTGTTTTGGCCTCATCCAGTGGTTTGGTACCTGCGTTTACATTGCGGTTCCGTATCCTCACATTTTGAGATTTCGATGGAGTCTGGGATCCTTCCTATCAGAGCTGAATTATTGTGAGTCCACGGGTCAGCACACTCTCTCCGCCAGGAGCTATTTCTTGTGCTTGCAGCGAAG